TTTTTTTTTTTTGGGGGGGGGGAGGGGGAGAGATCAGATAGGAGGAAGAGCTGTAGGGTTTTAGAAGCCTTCTGATCTGAAATTATATTATGACTGCTGAAAGCTCCCTCTATACCAGGGCAATCCCTTTTGAATAAAATTTGGAAATACATAATAGTTATGATGAAGACATTCCACATGAAAATTACATGACACCCCCTTTTGTTCTAGCGTTTTATTGTCATCACATGTAAAAAGATGATTGTTAATAATGACATAATTGTAAAATCATTTTTTAAATCACAAGTCATTTCTTTGAAAACACATGTTTATTCATTTTTGTATTAATTATTTTCCAATAGTATATTGATGCAGTTTGCCGGGTTCTGTAACAATTGAATATTGTCTCTAGTTTTGACCATAGCATCATCTCCTTTCATGATAGTTTGTTTTAATTTTTAATGATTAGTAAATTTGGCAGGGGTGTAAATAAATTGAAGGAACAAAAACTAATAAAGTTACTGTATTTCATGCAGTATGTTTGTCCTCCTTAGAGGGCGCACTATAAAAGAGTCTTTCCAAATTGGAAATGAGATTGCTTCTGCTATCACTGCTATGAATCCTAGCCCTGTCACCCTGAAGTTGGAAAAAGTTTATCATCCGTGTTTCCTCCTTACTAAGAAACGATATGTTGGCTACAGTTATGAAAGCCCTGGCCAAATTGAACCTGTTTTTGATGCTAAAGGTATTGAGACAGTACGCAGGGATACGTGTGGTGCAGTTGCAAAGATAATGGAGCAGTCTTTGAGACTCTTTTTTGAGCATCATAATTTATTGGAGGTATAAATGCCAGCAGATTGCGTCTTTCCCATACATATCACATTGAATGTACTAGTTGTTTAAAAATTGTTGAGAAAATGAGAAACATGTGATAAACTCCGTGTCTCAATTACACAGTGAAGGCTATTATATACTGTATAATAGGTGTCATAAAATACGAAGATTATAGTTACCCTAATTATCTCGATTACATATTAATATCTATCCACCCAATTGCCTTGTTTAACGTTATTTCTAATGTTTCCTCCACTTCGATTTATGCCCTTTAATTACCCTCCCTGTTCAAGCAATCTCTTTGTAAGAAAGGAAAAATACAAAGAAACAACAGAATTACAACTATTTATTCTGGATACTTCATCTGATTTGAAATTACGGTGTTGGTTTCATCTGAGTCATGCTTATCACTTTTTATTTGCTGCTTGCAGGTGAAGGTTTATTTGCAACGTCAGTGGAAGAGGATTCTTTCTGGCAGATTCTGCCTTAAAGATTTTATCTTTGCAAAGGAGGTTCGCTTGGGTACCTACAGTGCAAGAATCTCATCACTTCCTCCTGCTGCAATTGTGGCCACTAAGGCAATGAGGGTTGACCCTAGGTCAGAACCACGTTATGCAGAGAGAATACCCTATGTTGTAATCCATGGAGAGCCTGGAGCCCGCCTGGTTGATATGGTTGTGGATCCATTGGAAGTTTTGGCAATTGATTCTCCATTTAGAATAAATGATTTATATTACATTAATAAACAAATAATACCAGCTTTACAGAGGGTATTTGGGCTTGTTGGTGCTGACTTGAACCATTGGTTTTCGGAGATGCCTCGCCCCATAAGGGAAGCTTCTGTAAAGCATACATTAACTTCAAATTTCCATCGAACCAGAATTGATTATTACTATCTTTCAAAACATTGTGTGTTATGTGATAGGTTGGTCCAGGCATCAGCCCGTTTATGCAATCAATGTTCTGAAAATGAAGTAGCTGCTGCGACAGCACTGATTAGTAAGACATCGAAGTTAGAGCAAGAGATGCAACATCTTGTTGCTGTAAGTATCTTTGCATGTTTTTCATCATTGTTAATTGTTTTAAGGATTCTTTAGATATTGTGTATGTCTCTTATTTCTTTCTCTTGCTGATCGGGTTGTTTAAGTTATGCGTTGGGGGGGGGGGG